CCAAAAGGACTAGGCTTTCTCTCTCTCTGGCCTGGGACCTGCACTCACCCCATGTGTTCATGAGTTCTCTCTCCATAGCTATATGGCCCTAGCAGTCATATGGCCCATGGCAATGGGAACTTCAGGAGAGAGTCTAAATACTGTAGCACATTAATAAACTGTAGCTAGAGACACATGGTAAGCTAGCTGGATGCTCAACTGGACTATACACTAATATGGGGCAGAAACTCTGGACACTGGTTTTTGTGTTGGGCCTACTAAAGACAATACTGGACTGTTTCCATGGGGAGATAGAGTTAAGACATTGGGAAATCAGGAATCTTTTTTTACATCATCAATAAATTTCACCATGGATCCTCCTATGTGGGTCTGAGGAAATTCTTTACCTCTACACACCGCAAAAACCCCACATCCACTGAGTACACTTGCATGACCACACTTGAATTAAGCCCTAAAGATAGCATCTAAGCCTCAGTTGTGTTTCAGCTCCAGACCAAAAACAGCAGCAAGGCCAGGTGGAGGAACACCATAGCTGACATCAGGACGATGACTAATGACCCCTGTCCTGGTACTGACCAAACAGTGGAGACCATGACCCTGATGGGGCACACCTGATGAATATTCTATTGAGATCCTTCCCTGAGACCTCCCATAAATTCCCAGCCTTTAAAACTTCTTCTATCTCTGTGACATTCTCAATACAGTGGTACCTTGGTGTTCACCATTAATTTCTTCCAGAACTTGTGAAGAGTGCCAAAACCAACAAATACCAAGCAAACAACAAGTGATAAAGAATTTTCTCTTGCAGGGTGGCATCATGACTCATACAAGTTTTAGCAAGTCCGATGAGTCCTGAACAAGCATCAAGTACTGAAACATAATTTCCTAGTCAAAAAGTGACCAGTATAGGGTTTGACAAGTTCTGAGGCTGACAAGTACTATGGTATGACTATAAACTTTCTCTTATAATTTGAGGTCCATGGCTCTGAATTCTTTACTAGCTAAACTCAACAACTGAGGCTGATGAACCAAGGTGCAACATCCTGGTGCCATTCACTGTAAACAATACCAAAAGACATAGAAGAGTGCTGAAATGTGTGCATGTACACACATACATACACACACACACTTTTTCGTGCCAATTCTAGGAAATTAAGAGATGTGGATTGTGGGCTTAGACCTGCAGGTCACTAGGTTGATATATGTTCTGCTTCTGAGTTTTCCAGTCATTTACTAAAAGAAGATGACTTACCCAACATTAGTATTAAAAGATGATCTTAAGAAGGATATTTAAAAATCTTTAGAAAGTATAAAGTACTATATAATTACATAGAATTATTATAAATGAATAAATGTAACTGATATAAAAGAAAATATGAAAGATTCTTTCCTACCTCATCCAAACCTATTAAATATTTAAAGCGATAGTTCCTATGATAGATACCTTAAGAAGCCTCAGTTCCAAATCTCCCTAGACAACAAAGGGAGTATACCACCTTCTCCTCAAGAATGACTTGCCTCATTCTATCCCCATCACTGTTCTAGTCATAACTCCTCATTCCATTGATCTTTAAGAACCAAAACCAAAAAATTTTAAAATAACTGTACATATATTATTTTAAACTTTAAATTACTTGTATGAATGGACATATACATGGTCATTTGCTGTGGCATCTATTTGCAAGAAACAACCTAAATGTCCACAGAAAGGAGAATGTATAATAAAATTATGATATATTTATACAGTAGAATACTATGTAGCTGTCAAGAGGAATAAAGAAACTATTGACTAATTCTGATAGGATTTCTTCAATACATTCAGTGAAAAAAAGCAAAGTGAAGGATTGGTATATGGATTGCCACCACTCAGGTAAAATGCAAGAAAAGACCACACACTCCATACCACCCACAAATGCATGGGATATCACCAGATGAATACAAAGTAACTAATTTTCTTGGTTATATCTGCGAAGAGTACCTAGGTTGGCAGAAGGATGGAATGTGAGAGAGACTTCTCCCTGTCTATTCCTTAGTATCTTTTGAATCTTGTAATATCTGAATATATTACCTTTGTGCCAAATGAATATTAGACTGATAGTATAATACAGCATACATCTTATAGAAGAATAAATATACCACCAGGCCACACAGATTTCTAATAACCAAGCATAGAGATTGATGAACTTGGGTGCCAGAATAATCAACTCTAAGATTAAAAGTCTAACACAACAGCTGTATTAACATATGGTAGTGGCTAGAATATAACAATCACCCTGTCCTTCCCTACCAACTTCATTTGAGCAAACTTATGGTTCTATTAGAAACATACAGGGAGTGAGGTGACTGATTAGTTATTCAAACAAGAACACCATCCCCTTCATTTATGTATGCAACACACACACACACACACACACACACGTATATTTTCAAAATAAAGGAATGGTCAGATCTTCAACAAACTCTCCATTTCACAGATACTCACTGAGAATATAGAAGGAACAACTTAGGAGTGTATTCAGCAATAACTAAGAGAAACCCAGACTTACTATGACTTACACAAATTGAAATTTACTCTTCCCACCTAACAAGTAGTCTGGGAGAAAGCGGCTTGCATTGCCAGCAGCAGTCTATGGTATCAAGGCCATGACTGCTGTAGTTTCCTGTCCATTCCCTCATGGCTGCAAGATGGTTGCTCCAGGCATCACATCAATATTTAGGACAGAAAGAAGAGAAAGGGATGATGTGAGCCTATTTTACTAAGAAAACAAAGGTTCTCCCTGAAAATCAAGCAAACTCTTGCTTATTCCTAACCCATATTGTATGGCTATTCCCAGATGTAAGGAGGGTCTTAAAACGTGAATATTCAGTTTTCTACTTAATTAATAGAGGCATGCAAGAGCAAAGCAGGTTGAGAAAGATGACTAGACAAGAAGTCCCACAGTGTGTGACACAAGTCCTCTGAGAGGGTGTAGAAGATAATATGTAGAGGTGATAAGTATGACCTCTGACAATTTATAGTCTTTACTGCCTCCTTTAATATTAAGAATATTTTTAATATTTTATTGTATTTTTCCATTACCATTTATTCCCCTTACACCCTCCCTCCCCTGCAATCACCACACTGTTGTCCATAAGTCCTTTTTTCCTTTTGGCTTGATCCCTCATCAAATAAATGTGACAATATCATGGTTAAATGCATGAGTTCAGAAGTGAAAATACTGAGGGCTATTCAATATTCCAAAACTAAAAAGTTAACCTACAATTCATATATTTACATTTATGTACTTCCCTAGTAAAATGTAATTCTCCTGCCACATAAATGCACACCCAAGAATTACACACATTTACTTTCTGTACACTTCTTCTTAAATGTAAGTTTTCATTTGTTTAATGAACTACTTTATAATTTTGATTAATTTCTCAGGATCTACAAACCAGTTGTGTTTCCTCAGCTTTGTTAAATTTTAAACAGTTTTGTTGTAACATAACTCAAGTCCCCAAAATTTGTTACTTTATCATAATCTTTCCTACAAAAAAGGTCAATTATCTTATAAAGTCACCATCAACCTAGAGTACAAAGAATTACATAAATACTTTTTTTCTGAGCTATCTGAATGCCAGTTTAAAATATTATATTCTGTCATAAATAATTCAGAAGACACCTCCTAAGAACAAGGACATTCTCTTACCTAACCACAATATTATTATAGCCAACACTATTAACAGTAATTCTGTCAATTAGTAATATTTATAAATATTAATTATTATTTAATCTATTAACATGTCTTTGTCTTAAAAAGTATTTTTAATCAAAGGCTAAACACTCCCAAATATTTGTTTAAAGTGTGTTGCTTCAAAATCATTCAACCAAAGGGAGTTAATTTTCACCTATAACATTTTTATCAGTTGCCAGTCAATTACTATTTGGTTGCATTCTTTAAATACAGGTTTCTATATTTATAAAATGGCCACTTATTTTGCACCTTTGTATCTAAATATTTACAGAATATAACAAGAAGTTCTTCTGAACATTATATTTTACAAGAAGAAAAGGAAAGAAGGAAAAGAAGATAGGCAGGGTTATTCTTGACCTTTAAAATAACTTCTAAAACATATGTATGCCACATACAAACATATAGCAACATATTCAAAATTTACTCACTCCCAAATAATTACAGAATTCCTAATCACAAATTCAAGTAAGTGAAGAAGTGAAGTGTTTTAATTAAATATAAATCTGCTACTTAAAACAAAGAAAATACTCTCAGCTTACCCAATTTGAAACTGAAAATAAACCCAGGAGCGAGGTAAAATAGCAGAAAATCATCAGTGTCATTGAGCCTCAGATGGACTATTTGAGAAGCACTCAGCATAAGCTGCCCACGATTAATGCTGATGAATGGACTAGGTTTTACCACATTCATAAAAGGATTAGGAATAATGTTGTTTATATATACTCTGTTCTTCCCTCATGAATACATGGTCTTCACAGGCTCAAAAATCAGTTACTCTAAAATATCTGATGACTGGAAAATAAAATAGTTTACAATGAGGGGAAGCAAATTTACAACCATAAAAACAATTCTAAAATCTATTATGGGCATTATTATAATTATGGATTTATTTATTTACCCACCTCCACCAAATGAAACTTAAACCCTATTCAAACTAATCACTCAATAGACTGTACAACTCAGCCTTGAGCTGCGTATGATTTAATTTTCCTTTCCTTCTTGTAACATTATAATTATGTGCTTTGAGTTTACTGTAACTAATATTAGTGGTTTTCTCCACATGCTCACAAACTAAAGGAACAGACAAAAAAGCTTTTTGATCACCTAATCAGTACCCTTAGGAGAAAAAAAACTGTTAATATGGAAACAAAGATTTTTTTTTTTTAGTTTTTTTTTTCTGCAAGGGATAAAACAAATTCCTGTGTGGTTTTAATTACATCCTAATACTTCATAATATCTCTTAACATAAAATTCAAAATAAAATACCTATTGTGAATATCTCAGCAGCTCCCAATTCTGTGATGGCACCAACCTTTATAATCAAGTCCATGGTCCCTAAAAATCAAATAGATCAGCAACAAAACTATGGTTCTTTTTAAAGTGACATGACACTGTTTACAGATTTGTTGTCCTTGTATCTACTTTGTAGTACTGTGCTTTTCTTTCCAACCAAATAATATTAACAATGTATTTCCAGTTATCAAAATTTGATAGCTAATATAAATGCTCTTTTCTTTGTTTCCCAGAAGACCTGAGTAAGAACACATCTGCGGTTAACATAACCTCTGCCACTTAAAAAGCTCCAATTAGGGGGAAGGTGGGTATAAGGAGACAAAATAGTAATGGGAAAAAATATAATAGAAGTTTTAAAAATTAAAATAAATAATAAATAGTGCCAAGTGTGCAAAATATATGGGATTTCCAGGATCTAAGAGATGGCTAAATTCTTGTGTAAACAGAAAACTTTAGCCAGAGGGAGAAAAACAACTTTAGCTGTGAATGCCCAAAGCCCAGAGAGTTACACTTTTGTCGCTGGCTACCCATTTCCACTTATTCTGCTAGTCTATCTTATTAGTCAGTTTCTGATCAATTCTGTTGGTAATTTAATACAATAACAAGTTTTTCTTCTTTCTTATTTGTAAGAGGAGAGAAAAAACTGAAAAATGATTGAGGCTGTCCCAAACAGGCTGACCTAGTTTTATTCTCCTTTTAGAAACAAAACATCAGCCATGTCACAAAAGACAACTTGGTTTCTTGGTTTCTTGGAAATTGTGAGGATTCTGTTTCTTACATTCAGCATGCACTCAACTTCCCTCTCAAGCTCCAACCCCATATATCCCACTAACTATCTTGCTTATAAATACCTCTAGGCCATAGGGGCAAAATCAATGCCATTCTCTCTGCATGTCCAATGTTTCATACGTGACATTCTTATAATCCCTTACTGGCATGCAATTTTAAGTCCATCATATCAAAAATCTAGTTGTTGTGATGACTCTGATTATACCTGTCACAACTGACCATCAAACCCCAGAAATTCTCTTCAGAGTCTCTAGTACCTGACACTCCTTTCTATCCAAACTAATTCTACTTTCTCTAATTGTCATGGCCTTTACCCTGTAGGTAAGGGTTCTTTCCTTCATCCAAAACCTGGCAGGGTACATACATGGTTTTCAATGTATATTTGTAAATAAAAAGAAGGTGAAAATTCTGAAAGTATAAAAGCCCAGGGCCCCAAAAATTCATAATAAATAATGCTTCAGAAGATGCTTAATTTATTGTTTTCCTTAATTTTGCAATTTGAACATGTGAGTACAATAGGCTAAATATCACAGTGTTTACAAATAATGAAGGAGAAACATCTTTGATTTTTTGACAGATAAAAAGAATAAATTCTCTTAGGAGTCCCTCAAGCTCCAGAGAGCTGCACAGGAAAGAGATTTTTGTGTTTAAAAAAGAGAAATATGCATAAAGAATATGGAGAAAGGTCTTGTAAAACTAAAAAACTGCACTGGAGAACAGAATGATGTATTTTTAAAGTTTTCTAAACTATAAAGAAATTCATGAAACATAATCAATAAGCTCAGTTAAGAGGTTACAATGTGTAACACCAACCTATGCTTTGTTCTTCCTATGAAAAGCTAATGCTCATGAATTATTGGGGCTTTAGCTAAAAATTTGGTCATTACAAGAAAATATTGATGACATTCCTGGGCTTCCAGCCAAGATGGAGCTGTAAGTACATATACTTTGCCTCTTTGCACAACCAAAAGAAGGACAACAAATTTAAAAACAAAAAATAACCAGAACTGCCAGAATATCGAACTGTATGAAAATCCAACAACCAAGAAGTTCAAGAAGAAACATTCATTCAGACTGGTAGGAAGGATGGACATGGGCAGCTGGGGTAGAGAGGACATGTGACATGGCGATGGCTGGAGGACTGGATGGACCCACATTTGTGTGCGGATAAACTGAGAGGAACAACAGGGAAGTGAGACAGACCATGCTACACTGGGTTCCAGCATGGAGAAATAGGCCTCAAACCTCTGGCTGTAACAGATGTAGGGAGGTGGGGGTGCAGTAGCAGAGGAACTCATAGCCTCACATGAGTTTGTAGGAGAGACCCACAGGTTCTTAGAATGTACCCACTTGGGAAACAGCACCAGAAGGGCCCAATTTGCGTATGGGTAGCAGGGAAGTGACTGAAAGCCCAAGAGCCGAGCAAACAGCATTGTTCCATCTCTGACTCCTCCCCCACACACAGCCCACAAACGCAGCAATGGGGTTACCCCGCCCAGGTGAATACCTAAGGCTCTGCCCATTACTACATAACAGGTGCACCTAGATAGATAAAAAAAAAAAATAGCCCAACTAAAAGAATAGATTGAAGCTCTAAAAATAGAACTAAGTGATAAAGAGATAGCCAACATATGAGATGCAGAGTTCAAAACACTGGTAATGAGGATGCTCAAAGAAATGGTTGAGTATGGTTGCAAACTAGAGGAAGAAGTGAAGGGCTATGCAAAGTGAAATAAAGGAAAATGTACAGGGAACCAACATTGAAGGAAAGGAAACCAGGACTCAGATTAACAGTTTAGACCAGAAGGAAAAAGGAAACATTCAACCAGAACAGAATGAAGAAACAGGAATTCGAAAAAATAAGAAGAGGCTTAGGAACTTCTGGGACAACTTTAAACGTTCCAACATCCAAATCATAGGGGTGCCAGAAAGAGAAGAGGAAGAGCAACAAGTTGAAAACCTATTTGAAACAATAAGAAAGAACTTCCCCAATATGGCACAGGAAATAGACATGCAAGGTCAGGAAGCTCAGATCCCAAAGAAGTTGGACCCAAGGAAGCACACACCAAGGCACATCATAATTACATTACCCAAGACTGAAGATAAGGAGAGAATCTTAAAAGCAGCAAGAGAAAAGGAGACAGTTACTTACAAAGGAGTTCCCATAAGACTGTCAGCTGATTTCTCAAAAGAAACCTTACAGGCAAGAAGGGGCAGGAAAAAAGCATTCCAAGTCAAGAAAAGCAAGAACCTACATCCAAGATTACTCTATCCAGCAAAGCTATCATTTGGAATGGGAGGGCAGATATAAAGTACTTCCCAGATAAGGTCAAGTTAAAGGAGTTCATTGTCATCAGCCCCTTATTATATGAGATGTTAAAGTGACTTATCTAAGAAAAAGATGATGATCAAAAATATGGATAGTAAAATGGAAACAAACTCACAACTATCAATAACTGAACCTATAAAACAAAAACTAAGTAAACAACTAGAACAGGAACAGAATCACAGAAATGGAGATCACATGGAGGGTTATGAGAGGGGAGGGAGAGTGGGAAGAATGGGGGAAAAGGTACAGGGAATAAGATGCATAAATGGTAGGTACAAAATAGACATGGGGAGGTTAAGAATAGTATGGGAAATGTAGAAGCCAAAGAACTTATATGTATAACCCAAGGACATGAATTAAGGTGGGACAATGCTGCTGGGAAGTGAGATACAGAGTGGAGAGGAATAAAGGGGAGAAAAATATGAGCCAACTGTAATAGCATAATCAATAAAATATAAAAAAGGAGAAATATTTATTGAATATAACTCTTTCATTTGGCAGAAACCCACAAGAGTCAACTCCTTTCAACCTTAAGTACTAATGGCATACTGTATTTGAGAATAAATCTATGATGCCACTAATGTTGTAAGAACATTTCTCAAAGATATAAAAGAACAACAGGGCAAAACCACTTTTTTATCATAATATATACACTGCAGAGAAATTTTCAACAGGGTCACATAGACTGTAGGTTGACAATACTAAGAACTTGGCTTAGAAATTTTTTAAAAAAGAAAAGAGACATTAGAGTTTTATAGATCAATGGTCCCTAACCTTTTTGGCACCAGGGACCAGTTTCATGGAAGACAATTTTTCCAGAGATCATGGGCTGAGGGGGGCGGGAAGTGGGAGGAGGGAGGGTATGGTTTGGGGATGATTCATGAGCATTACATTCAAGCACACCTCCTACTGTGCAGCCCCAGTTCCTAACAGGCCCAAACCAATGCCGGTCCTTGGCCCGTTGGGAACCCCTGTTATAGATAACATTTTATCAGCCATTATATTTAGTAGTGAGTAGAACCAACTAGAAAGTGTTCTGTGACATTACTTGTTGAGAACAGGGCAGGAAGCTATAATGCCACCCTGAAGTTCAAATACCACACATGCAGCTACAGTTTGCATGTAAAAAGAATAACTCATAAAACCAAGTTTGTTAAAAAATAACCAGGAATAGGAAAAGTCACATCTGAATCACTATAAGGGTTTGTGTTTGTGTGTGCACATGTGTGTAATCACTTAAAAAGCACTACTAAAAAGGAAGTCTATTTCTTTTCCCTACTTAACTAAGCATTTAGTCTATAATCAGCTGGTTAGCATGAAGTATTATTAAGGCACTATTTTTACAGTACCTATTTTTATGGGTTTTGTATGTTACACAAACACTGGTTTTTTAAAAAATGCATGAATTGGTTTACTCTTTTATGCTTCCTATATTAAGTCAAACCAAAGCTCTGGATCTTGGCATAATAGTAATGCAAGTAGAAACAAAAAGAGTTAAATCTTCAAAGTGCCTCAATTTTACTCTATTCATTCTATCACATTAAAGTCTCATTTTATCAAAAGTAGATTTTTAAAGAACCCATATTTAAGATAATTTCAGAGTTTGTTACAAAATGCATAAAATGGAAAAAATCTTTATTTTAATAAGTCACTGACAACTTTAGGAAAAAATACATAAAACAAATTATTTCATCATGAATGTAAAATTATTTTCTTTAAAAAAATCCCTTATTAGTGCAGAAAGTCACATATATCAAATATAATACTACTCAGAAAAAGAAGTGTTATTTTAAAACTCTGCCATGCCATTTTAGAATCTTTCATTTAAGGTAATTTTATCATTAATAAAAGTTAGTTGTCAATTAAAAGAATGTCACCCAAACAGCAAAAAAAAACCCCTATCAAAAGCTATAAGCAGATAATTCAGAAATTAATAAAAAGGCCAAGTAATAATACATGAAAAGTCACTCAACCTCACTCATTAGAAGAAGACAAAATAAAACTGTAAACCAGTTTTTTAAATCCACAATCTTGGGTATGTTTTAAAAATTTGAGTCTGGAATTTTTAGGACTGTGTTCAGTATACACTAGGTCATGGGATCCAGTAGCAAAATGAAATACTGCAGTCAAACTCTCTGAGTAGTTTTAAAAGGAAAATTTGTTTAAGATCCATTTTATTTATTTACTTTTAGAGACAGGGGGAAGCAGCGGGAAAGAGAGGGAGAGAAAGAGAATGTGAGAGATCTGGTTATCTCTCTCATGCCCCCCACAGGGGACCTGGCCAGCAACCCAGGCATGCACCCTGACTGCGAATCGAAGCAGTAGCCTCTGGGTATACAGACCAGTGCTCAAATCACTAAGCCACACCAGCCAGGGCTAAAGGAGAGAGTTTTTAGAAAGAGAATACAACAAACCAACAGGCGAGAAAAGAATGGAGTTCGGGAACTCCTTAGCATGGACCCAACTCTGGAGAGGTAGAAGTAGCTAGTAAATTTGTCATCTCCTTTTTTATTTAATGATTTTCAGAGACAGAGACAGAGACAGAGACAGAAAGAGAAACATTAATTTATTGTTCTACTTATTGATACATTCATTGATTAATTCTTGTATGTGCCCTGACCAGGGATCAAACCTGAAACCTTGGCATATCAGGACAACACTCCAACTGAGCTACCAGGCCAGGGCCAGTGAATCTGCCATTTTAGATTTAGTAAAGTGCTTCACATCATTCTTAACAAATAGAAAGTTATCATAATTACCCACTTACTATATGATTCCCTGAAAGTTAATTTCTCTTGAGTATCTAGTTTTCACCCCTTACTATTCCTTTCCACTAATGCCCTGAGAATGTATTGAGTATAACTAGACAAATAACACATTAACTAATAACTAGACACATATAACACATTATATAAATTACATGTGCTATTAAGGCCAAGAATTTGGACTCCCTTAAAAATGTCATTCAACAACAGTAATTTTAATATACCTGAGGATATAGTAACATAAATATAATCAAACTTTTTTCTTATAAAATCACTAGAGGCAGACTTCAAAGTCTTGTTTCTAACTCATTCCTGAATTTACATTTTTCCACTGGCCATTGGGCAATTCTTACTAATATGCATATACTTAATTCTATTATTTATGCCATAAGCTCAGTTCAGATGACTACAAGAAAGCACCTGTATAAAATCTTTTCATATTAAAATTTTCCTACAGTTATTCACTCTGTTCTTCCTTCAAATAAATAAATACAGTTCCTCCTTGCCCATAATCTATTATTCTTTCTCTCTTTTCCCTAAAAATGTTTCCTAAGAGGGCATGAAACTTACTAAAAGGCCTGAACAGCAGTGAAATTCAGTTTTAGCCCCATCCATAGAAGGTTCCATTTATCTCGTCAGTTGCATGCTTATCTGGCTGAGTCTCTATGGTGGACTTCTATAAATTCTAAGCAGAAACAGCTTTGAGATGAAATATATTTGCGTAATAAAGCCTAAATTTCAGCAAAATAAAAGAGTTTGGAGCAACCCTTGCTTAGCCAGGTGCCCCACCACTACCCTAAACAAAGGGCTTGGGTAGAGGTATGACTGAACATCTGGATATTTGTAAGAAAACTAGAAGAAAAGAATTGATCACTGGTATGGGTTTCTGTCCCTCTTCCCAAGTTAGTGAGGGTGGAGGAAAAAAGGGAAACAATAAAAAAGCCCCACCTAGATTCGGAGGATCCAAGAATAGATGAAGCCTGAAGAGACAAAAAGGCAGGTGGAGAAGTCCTCCATTCCCATGCAACACTCAGGCCAGAAAAAGTAAAGTAGGGAAAGTAGCCTGATATGCACAAGGAATTGGCAATCTCACTGATTACACCGTTTTCAGACCAATTGACTCCACTACCACTAGCGTCTGCTGTCAGTGCTGAGGAAGTCACAGACACCATACTGAATTCAACAGCAACAGAGCCCAGTAACCCAAAGGTGGGGAGAGGGCAAGTCCCTTTTCAGCAGAAGCTAACAGTGGGAAAAGAATAATGGTGAACCACAGGGCCTCTCACAATAACAAAAGAGCTCTCTGGAATCCAGTTACCACCCAAAGAAGGTGGAAGAGGGGAAAGACAAACATAAAGTACCATGTAAAAAGAGATTAGGGGACTAGCAGAAACAAAGGCAAGGAGCCAGGCATTAATCTGAAAGAACAAAAACGGAGTTAAAATAGGAACTCTTCCTGCAATTTCCAGCATGTGCTGAAGAGAGGCAGTATGGTGTGAGGATATCTAGTAAAAAAAACTGCCCCAGCCACAGACCGAGAACACAGTCCTTCTGTGACTTTGCAAGCTAAGCCTGGTGATAACCTGACCACAGCCCTTTCAATATAGAAACCAGAGGCTCCCAGCAGCTGCGCACCATCCTCTGTCAGGACTCCTTCATCAAGGCCCTGCACAATCTACATACAGCCCCTGTGGCCCAGAGGGTCAAACACCAAGCAGTCACTCGCGCTGCAAGCGCCTGTGATCTATGTACTCTGATGACCTCTAGGTACATTGCACATTCAGCCACCAACTGCTGATTAGCTGCTCCCAATCTGCACTCTAGAGTGTGGTCTATTGTTTATCCCACAACTCCAGACCACTCCCACCCTGATCAAACTAGTAAACGTCTCAGATACCTGGTGGCCAAACCACACCTTCTCCAAAAATGGCTGAGCCTCTTCTAACTATGTCCTTCCTTGGATAGTCTCTCAGCTCTAGAGTTCCACATAGAGTTTCCTTATATTTTATAATTACTCTTTCATCATAGTTAACAATTCCTTATATTAAACTTACCCTGATTAACATAGTGTATGGTTTCTATCTCTTGATTGGACCCAGAGGGCTACATCCTCCTAATGTTAAAATCACAGTCTACCAATATTTCCATTTTCTCTACTGATGCCTCTCTCAAAATCACCATTTCCTGTCCATCCTCTGGACCATTCCCAGCCCTTTAATGTCTCTGTTCTATAGAGATGGTCTTGGACAATCTTAGCTCTACTCTATAACCCTCCCCACCAAACACATTTTGTCAGCTTAAGAATACACAAGGGTTCTCTCCTTCCTATCAGATACTATGTTGAGATTTTAAGGCCCTCTGTGACCTGGCCTCACCTAGCCAATCCAGCCCCACCACATATCAGGAATACTTCCTCCAGGTAAGACCCATGCAGAAGTCTAGCCAACCCCACACTTAATCCTATTGTCATGTCTCTGTTCAGGTTCCTTTCTTCTCCCTCTTTCCTCACTAATCCCAGAGCCTTCTGGAGCCAGTCCTAAGAGCCCATCATCCATAATTCCTTTTGGAGTAATTTCTTCCTACACTTTGTCTGTGTTTTCCTCACTATACAATTAGTACCTTATTATATTCTCTTGTCTTAATTCTTAAGTGGACATAGCCCCCACCCCCATTAACCCTGTGCTACTCTTTCTCTAATTTATGTGTTCATGGCTAATTACCCTAACATATTTAATGTTTTATACTACTTATAGTACTTCACATATCTTTGCATACTGATAAGCTCAATGTTAAATGATGGGAAAACCAACTAAGTCAAATCATTTTAACCCTTAAGTGGCTTGGCAAATGGAGCCCGAATAGGATTTCAACTTAGCCCTGTACAAATGTATGTGACAGCCCTGGACTCATGAACACTACATTTTAAAACTTGGACTCTAAAAAAAGTCAAATTTTATTTTAAAACTTTTTAATAAAGTTGTATCTTAAATTTTACTTTAGTAGACTTTTATTCTACTGTATATCACGTGAATCCTAGACAATATCTCTCACAGCTTGGATGTTAGATTAGTTACATGGTAAATTTCATGCTGTAGTAGCTGCTGTGATGGAATTCTTTTCACGATCAAATTAATTGAGGGTCTAAGTCTAGACTAGGCCCTGCACCTAGGTCTAGCAATACAAATGTGGTACCTGACTCATGACGTTTATAGCTCAGCAAAGCAATCTATATTTAGAAGTATATGATTTTCTTAAGGTTATACTTACTGATAAACTTGTTTTGCATAGTCTCCAATAGCGCTTGGTGAGCATCTTCAGCTTGTAAAGCATGTGAACATTCTCTAGCGAGTATGGTGCGTACAAGATGCTCCCCACATCCTAGAAATTGAAGGAAACCACAAATTGTTGAAGAAAAGCAGTACTAAGCATCTGTCTTTTGTTAGGTGCATTAAAACACCCTTATGAACTACTTAAGAAGTAGCTGTGCTAGAAAATAATTCAGTGATGGATGAAATGATTTCTATGAGCAATCCAGTAATTTTAGTAATGAGATTTGGCAGAAACTACACATGACTGACTAATCTCAAAATGAAACAAACAAACAAAAAAAAAAACAGGAAAATTCTATTTCAAAAGAATTATTTATACAATCCAAGAATTTAGAGACTTTTACCTAGGAATCTGCTAAGGTTCTATCTCATTTTCATGATTGGGTAACTACAAAAAACTGCCTTATAATTTATTTGATTACATTCCATTGACCTTGGTCTCCTATTGCCTTTTGGTATCCCACACACCTGGGAGCCTGGGAGAAATCTAGTCAGGCAGGGCCAATGTGAATCTCCCCAATCTACTTTTCACTGAAATGTCCACCACACATCAACAGCTGTAAAGTGCACTTAATAAAATAACACCTTACTCATATTCTAGTAGCAATTTACATTACTTTCGAGGGTAAATACCCTCTGTAGTTCTAAAGAAACAGTGTATTTTAACCCCTTGAGTTAGTGTGTCTGAATCTGGACTGTTTAGACACACTAAGAAAGGGTAGACATGGTGGTGATGGGCAATGCCTAGAATCTGATTACAGTCTCTACCTGTTAAAAGCAGAAACTTCCTGCAAAAGTAGAGACAGAAAATTTAATTTATAAACTGGCTAGTTCAAATAAAAGATTTCTGAACAAAGAGCTTGCTTTTTTTTTTCTTAAAAATACAAAATGTTAAAAAACTACTTTGACAAACATTGGAGAATTAAGCCATTTTTAAAATATAGCAAATGACATTTGAAATGCTTTTTATATATAAAACCAATTTTGCTATTAAAATTAGGTATCTTTTTATCCAAATGAGAATAGTAGACACAAAAGATCTTTAGAAGGTCTCTTTCTTAAAAACATTTTTCCATTCAAAATGATTCCTCTCCCCAACTGAACTTCTGCTTCCCATCTCTTAAAAAAAAAATTCCCGCCAAAGGTGTTTCTGTTAGTTCATTGGAAAATAGTATCCTCCATAAATTCACAGATAAAGGCTATCAAATGATCTAAGAATCTGCTCAGACTAAAGTATGACTCAACCCTATTGTCCAAAACAATCACAGCAAAAAAAAAAAAAGCATCTCCACGATCCACTTATTTCCCCTAACAGAACCAGTGACAAAGTAACTTCTTTTATGTCATTAATTTGCATACAGATACGTTCATGCACAAACACTACACTGGTAAATGGAGAGGGGAGGTTATTAGCAATCCCAAAGAAATGATGACTAAGATTATCAAATGAAAGAACCTCTTTTAAATAATGCTTTAAAAGCCTTAAATTCATAAAACTCAACCAACATAAACTGATATGAAACACAGTTTTCTGTTCAGCTAGTGTGTATTGTGACAGATGTTATGCACTAACAAATCTCACTGAAAATATAAACTGTAATTGTTAAATCATGTTGGTATCTTTCATTTCGGAAATGTTCTCTTACATATAGACCTCTCCTTTCTCTCTCCTCTCCTCCCCTATAACTACATGCACATATAAACACACATACAATATATGCTCATTGCCAAAACTATAAACCATTACAAAAGTATCAAGGCTTTTAAAAAAAATCATCTGACATTCTGCCTGAAAGAATCCTTCTGTATTTTTTGGTAAAGTGGAAATGTGAATAACCTCCAAGATCTAAATATGTCTTCGTGAGTACCTACACTTAAAGGAAGATATAGATATGCAATTTAATATGTAACTTTGTAGGCAGGATTGTGGTGATCTCTACTTTGTTAAAATTTTTGCAGTATTATTTTTATAATCAGAGAAGAAACGACAATAAAGCAAAAAGAAAAAAAACTATTTTTGACATTTACTATGTTGAGACATTGTGCTAAGCTCATGTAACTCCATAAATTTTAATTCCCTTTGTGTACATATCTGATGTTGAACAGTGAAATGTTATACTTTGGAACAATAATAATTGCTAGGAAATTGGCATATTATAAGCTAAATGAGTGTTCAGAAGGTTATGTATACACACCTCAAGTCAAACAACTAAACCACATGAAGTTAATATTACATCAAAAATACACAATGTATGTCAGAGAGACTTTTCCCTCTGTTGTTATACAGGAATAGCAGCATTTTCCCATGATTGATTTTTACCAAGGAACTTTTAAAATTATGACTTCTATTCTGACATACATCACCTCTAACATAAGAGCTTTGACACCAAAAGCTTGTTCTCCTTCAGGTTCCAATCAAAGAAAAATTTGACTTCTGTGGTTTTACCCACAAAATTCCAAGGTTTCTTAAATACGATACCATGTAGCTGAAGTATAATACAAAGGCAAAAAGTTCCATTCTTTATTCAAATATATTAGAAATAAGCTATTCATTACATCTTCCTTTTGTCCTTACTCATGCAAGTGAGAATGTATTTATGTTCTCAGATCTCAGCAGTAAACACGGATTATACATATATTATAGAATGAAGACCTAACAACAAACCTAATAGAAAAATGAAATAAATACCAAATTCTAAAAGAACTTAGAAAAATACACACGTATTTAACATCAATAAAAATAATAACTGAATGGCTTGAAACACATAGTAAATCCATAACTTATGATTTAAAAAGCATTTGTTACCTTTGGAGGATGATTTTTGAACCAACTCAGTCTTTTGAAAACTGATAAATTTTAAAAAATCAAGGATTTCTCTGTACTTCCTATAAGAAATATACAGCAGGGTAATCAAATAGTTTATGAAGAAAACTTTTCTCGCCCTGGCTGGCATAGCTCAGTGGATTGAGCGCGGGCTGCGAACCAAAGTGTCGCAGGTTCGATTCCCAGTCAGGGTACATGCCTGGGTTGCAGGCCATGACCCCCAGCAACCACACATTGATGTTTCTCTCTCTCTCTCTTTCTCCCTCCATTCCCTCTCTAAAAATAAATAAATAAAATATTTAAAAAAAAAAAGAAAAAAGAAAAATTTTCTCCATAGAATTATCCCAGTTAATAAATAGAGAAATCAACAAAACTGGAATATTACCATTTGTAACCTGTAATGTTATAACTGATACAAGCAACAATCATAAATGGCTGCTAATAGCACAAAAAGATACAATCAGATACTACTTGTCTCTTGATAAAATTAGACCTTTTTAGTGTTGTCCCACTGAAAAAAATTACACCTGAATCCAATCAAATCTACAAATTCAATGATCACTTTCCAAAACAAAGTGCATCAACAAAAAACCTACACTTAACATCAAACTTAACCATGAAAGACTGAATAGTCTCTCCCTAAAATCAGAAACAAAGCAATAATGTCTGTTTTTACCTCTGCTATTCAACAATATACTAGAGGTTCCAGCCATTGCTACAAGGTAAGAAAAAGAAACAAAAGGCATAAAGACCAGAAAGAAAGAAGTAAAACTGCCCCAGCTGCGGATGATACAACTGCTTATGTAGAAACTCCAGGGAAAATCAACAAAACACCTACTAAAGAAATGTCTCCAAATTTTTTCTATCTAGTTGGTAATCCAGGGCAAAGGCTCACGGCAGATATCCACCTGGTACTTACCAGTACCAAAATGTGGACCTGATTTTCAATTCTTCCCCCATCCATTCACTCACCAGATTGTTACTGAGCACTGTGCTTGGCCCAGAGTACACAGCAGTTTGGCAGTGGTGCTGATGCATATTGTCAGATCTCCCCCTGCTTGGTTACTGAGTACTCATTCAACTATCATTCTGGCCAGTCCAGATGCCAGTGCCCTCATTGTGCATGCTCCAGTCCTCTCAGGACTGTATTCACTATGTCCCATTCATATTCTCTCTCTCATTCTCATTCTCATTCTCACTATGTCCCATTCATATTCTCTCTCATTCTCATTCTCATTCTCTCTCTCTCTCTCTCTCTCTCTCTCTCTCTCTCTCTCTCTCTCTCTCTCTCTCTCTCTCTCTCTCTCTCTCGCCCCCCCTTTAAGGCCATAAGCCACTGCAGAGTAGAGGTTAGCATTTTCTATTCTGCAATCAGACTCATGTTTGAATCAAGCTGAGAGACTCTGGGACTCTTTATTTAAGCCTCAGTTATCTCAGCTGTAAAATGGAGAATGGGATTAATAACTGCATCATCTAGTTGTTGTGAGGACAAAATGACACAATGCACATAAAATATTTAGCATGGAGCTGTGAGGCAGGAGACAAGATAGCCATGAGGAAGCCCTGAGGTGCCACACTGTTGCCAGCCATCCCCAGGGTCCTGATTACCAAGAAATGTATTGCAGCACCCAGCAAGAGGGCCACAGGTGTGGACCCTACCAGTACCTGACCACTTTTTCACCTTGCTTCATTATCATGCCATTCTAATAAATTAGAATTGCAGTTTGACTCCCAAGTGCATCTGCTGCTAGCAAAAGATGGTCTGCTATCTGTATCTTGGGAAGTGTGCTTTTCTTATTTTTTCCATTATGGTATAGGGTTTGGTTTGGGTTTGTTTTTTTTTTTTAAGTTTGTTTGTTTGTTTGCTTATTTTTTTCCCATTACCATTTAGTCCCCTTTACTCCTCAATCACACTATGGATCATGTCCATGAGTCCTTTTTCTTTCTTGCTCAATCCTTTCACTCATAACCTCCCCACAGATTTGTCATTATTCTGCTCACTATGAGTCTGTTCTGCTTGTTAGTTCAGTTTGTTCGTTAGATTCCAGAGGAGTGAAATCATATGGCATTTCTCCTTCTCTGACTGGCTTATTTCACTTAGCATAATGTTCTCCAGGTCCATCCATACTGTCGCAAGGGGTAAAATTTTCTTATTTTTTATGGCTTAATAGTATTCTATTGTGTAAATGTCCCATAGTTGTTTTATCTGCTCATCTACTGATGGA